AAATGGATTCCTACCCCTGTTCCAGTGATCTTGCTTTAATTTGTCACTTATAGGAGCTAGAAAGCAATGTACCTGACCAATTGGCAGAATCAATTTTTGAGCTGGAAGGGACTTCAATGCTCTCATTTTACAGATAAGGAGACTGACACCCAGAAAGGGATGGTGATTTACTCAAGGCCACACAGGAGGTGAGTGGCAGAGCCTAGACTCCAACCCATATTATTTAATGACAAGTCAAGTCAGTGCACTACCCATAACATCTACTTATAGGCAATACAGAGGAAGAGAGTCTTCTTACTTCCCATAACAGACTGCAACATACTAGAAATCAATAAAGTTAATGGGATGGTATTGGTTGCTTCATTCAGACACTCAAGTGTGAAGAGTCACCATCAATAATCAAGACAGAAAAAACAAAGCAAGAACAAAGATGAATAAGAAAATTATGATTTTATGACCCACAGTGTTATGGTATAAATATTAGACAGTATATTATTGATGAAAACATCAGAGTTACCTCCAAGGACCATGCCAGCCTGACAGCACTTTCTAAGGCGACATGCTGGGCAGTTTTTTCTGCGGATTTTGTCAACAATGCAGTCATTTCTTCCAGCACATAAATAGTTATGCTGCCCTAAAAAAAAAACAAAAAAATTTTAAAATTATTTACAAGCTCTAAGGACCACTGGAAATTCTATGCAGGGACAACTGAAATAGAGGATAGATACACATCAGCAAGTACATGATTCTCTTAGCCAGACTCTTGCTTGGCATGATGGAATGCTAGTGATGCTACAAACCTGTCTTCAGGATCCTAAATAAGGTAAACACATCTTAAAAATCAATCCCAGAACTCCTTTAAAAATATTGTGTACAATATTTCTGTGCATCTTCTTAATGGTGTCAGTATTGGATTGCCCTTAAACCTTTCTGTAATTTTAAGATTAGCTAGCTATATGTTTCTGATAAGCGTTAGCTGCATAAAGGTCAAGCTCTAGTTAAACCTTTTCTTTCTGACATCTAAGCCTTCAGAAAAATAGATACAGACCAAAGAATTAAAAAGGTCTCTGGAATAGACCTTTTAAAAAAATCTATATGCTTAATTCTATTGGAAAATACTGGACCCAATTATCTCGTAATGGAGCTAATGCTTGTGAATAGCATGTAAAAAATGTCATTTATGCTCCAAAAAATTGAAGAGGGAGGAATTCTCCCTAACTAATTCTACAAGGCCAGTATCACCCTGCTACCAAAACCAGACAAGGACACAACAACAAAAACAAAACTAAATGCCAATATCCTGATGAATATAGATGCAAAAATCCTCAATAAAATACCAGCAAACTAAATCCAACAATGCGTCAAAAAGATAATATACGATGATCAAGTAGGATTTATACCAGGGATGCAAGGATGGTTCAACATATGTAAATCAATAAAAGTAATACATCACATCAACAGAATGAAGGAGAAAAATCATATGTCTCAACAGATGCAGAAAAAGCATTTGATAAAATTCAGCATCCCTCCATAATGAAACTCTTGATAAATGAGGCATAGAAGGAACATACCTCAAAATAATAAAGGTCATAAATGACAAACCCACAACTAACATCATAATGAATAGCAAAAAGTTGAAAGGCTTTCCTCCAAGAACTGGAACAAGATAAGGATGCCCACTTTCACCACTCCTATTCAACACAATACTGGAAATCCTAGCCAGGGAAATAAGGCAGAGAAAGAAACAAAAGTCATCCAAATTGGAAGGAAGAAGACAAATTTTACCTCTT